GCCTGAGCAGGAAACCGGCAGCCTCAATTCCTTGGCAACCTCAACCTTTGCCTACTTACTAGCAGGCACGTCCCCACTGCTTTTTCAGCAGCCTAAGTCTTACAATCTTCTTCTTCTGAAGTTTTTATTCTAATGGGCCATTTCCCCAGTAAGAGATTTCAATACAATTGCTTGGGAGAAAATCTGGGAAAGGCGAGAGAAGAAGGGAAATTTATTTGGTGTTTTGGGGCACAAAGTGTTTCTCCTCCAAACAACTTAACCGGGGAGTTATAGTCCAGCCACTTTAGTCGAGCTAGATTTTTTAAAACTTAATCCTGTTGAGGACCACAGACCCAAATAATGCTATCATATTTGATCAGAAATAAACTCCAGGGATTGGAGCACAGCAAAGGCCAATTAGCCGCAAATTCTGGTTGACTAACAGGATGAGGGTGAGGAAGGCTGTAAAATTAAACACCCTAGGAAAGCTAAAATCTCTCTCCATCGCTGCCACCCCCATTCCCCATGCACAGTGACACCTATTTCCCAGTAAACATGTTCTGAAGAGAACTGCTGTTGGGACAAATTTTACTCCGCTATATTGCTCTTCCCTCCCCAAACCCATGAATTGAAGAGGATGCAGAAGGTGTGAAGAAAGCAGAACTGGCCCAAGTCCTTTGTAATGTTAATGTCTTCTTGACAAATGTTTACTTCAAACTAAAGTTGACTTGAGAGAGTGTGTTTGAGTGCAGGGGAATCCTCTTTGAGCTTTTTTTTTTTAAAAAAAGTCTTAAATCTTGGTGGTATGTATGTTAGCTCACTCTTGAAAGGAAATGATAAAGTGGCCAAGTATCAAAGGTTTTCTATTTGATGGCTCCAACATTGTAAACATTTGGTCAAAAATGTGAATGAAAATGCACGTGGGTGCCCACTGTTTACTTCCTACTATCCTTTTTCGCTGTTTCTGGGAGGGAGGGAGGCAGCAAAGGAGACTGTTCTGGCTGGGAGTAAGCTAGGATGGTACCTCCAGCAAATAGAAGTTGAAGTCATTTTCGTTCCTCTGCGTAGGACTATCGTCTTTGGGTCCAATTGCATTGTCCAACAAAAAAATCTCTGTTTCCCAAATTTTGCCAATGTTTTGCTGCCTCTGAATAAACAACTATTTATACAAACGGCTTTGGTATCATCATTTGCAAACCCAGTTTTGATGCACATATAAAATGTGAAGACTGTTATTCTGCATTGAGGATTTTGTTCAGAATAGGGAGGGTGGATGCTTGTCAAAGTATGGTTTTAAAAAAAAGCCAAGATGGTGTCCTCAGTACAAAATATTTCAAGGAACAAGCAGAAAAAGAGCGAGTGAGGTTGTTAGTTAAGAATCCCCCCCCCTCTCTCTGATTTTAGGAGGTCCTGTTCCCAAGATAATATGTAGAGGGCTACATCTTTACGCACTCTCCTTTACAGGGTTCGGTTTCAGCCTGCTGAATCTCAGACTGTTCTGCATGGAACCGCACTCCATGTTTCAGTTCTATGCATAGCTACTTAGATATAAGTCTGATTCCAGGACCAGCTGCTTCTAAGTAAACATACTTGAGATTACAGCTGAATTTGAGGCCGCAGTCCTCTTCCTGCTTGCCTGGGAATAAATTCTACAGAACCTAAAGCCACTTCCTTCTGAGTAAACATGCCTAGGATCACGTTGTAAATCACTCTGTTCAGTGGAGCGAAGTCACCAGCAGATTTTGCAGGATCAAGAGTTCCCTATATCAGGAGGAAAAAAGAGAATGCACTTTGAAATATTTCTTGGTTTAGCCAAAGTTATTTCCATTGTATAACTGGGAAGTTTTCAGAATGCTTTAAAATACTCTGCAGTGTTATTTACTTTCATTAGTATTATTTACTTTTTTGGGGGGGGGGGGAATTCAGCGACCTTTTAATGGCATTTTGTGTATGTATAATACTTGTCCTGTATCCTGATCCCGAAACTGTTACTTCACAGGCTCCTCTTAATCCAGCGGGTTTTCCTTTTCAGAGAAAGTTNGTTCTTTTTTGTATATGAGCAATTCTTTTTTTTTCTGAAACAGAAATGGGGTTTTCTGCAATAAACTACAGAAGAGCTTCTCAATGAAAAGTGGAATCTGAAAATAATCTCCTATAGTTTATATAGCTTTTAGGTCAAACTACCCACCACAAACATCTGCTGAAATATGTCTGAAACAGAAAAGAAGATCGCTGACATAGTGTTTTCTCTCTCTTTAGATTGCAAATGAAAGTTACTGAATGCCCTCAGTTACACTTTAACTTCTTAGAACTCTTCCCAGGAAAAACAAAACAAAACGCTAAGAGTCAGGATTTACAATACAGATCGACTTTTCTCCGGTTTTTCAGGTTCCAGTTCTGGTTCAATCCATCATGTCACCCTTGGCTATTAATGCACGCATGCGCAATGTGAGGGGGAAAAACAAAACAAGATAAGGGGGTGAAAGAGAAAATGCAACAACAAAAAATGTTGGTTAATATTTATACCAAAATAGAATAGCAGTCAAGCACTGAGGATACAGATATACTTGAGTACAAGAAGGTAGAGAAGACTATATTTTGTAAAAACAATTAAAATAATCCACACAAAAGCAATAAGACTGCATTGTGAAAATGTAGGATGAAATGCAGACAAAGTTTAAATCAACATTTCCTTTTAAATGGCATATTGTTATTTAACAAGGCAGACTAAATGGCAAAAAATGCTCCATTCTTTTGCTAAAAGTCTATCACCTTTTAGAGTAAGCAAGTAATTAAGTGAGGGTTATAATAGGCAGTGGTTGTCTTTCGGGGAGCCTGGGTAATAGTGTCTTTTGGATTTCCCTAGGAAATTGATTTGTATAAATACCATCACTTTTGAGGACCACTATATTTTCATCTTTGTTATTTCAGACTGATAAGATATGATGCCATCTGGGTGATGTGGGGAGGGAGGGGGGAAGAGACCAAGCTTTAATGTACTGTAAAAATACACTATATTAAATATTATTATTAAATGCTGGCTGGCTGCTTAAGGTAGTGGCCATACATTTCACCCTAGATTTATATTTTTATTGATAAGAATTATATCAAAAGTACCTCTCCCCTATTGCCCAATGTGACAAATCCTGAGGCTCACTCTGATACTAATAGTCTGCACCCTCTGACAATAAATAATGTCAATATCAAATCTCCAAAAAGATGTCCTCCAAATGTATACCTTTCCAGGAAAGCAGTGAGGAATATTTCTGTCTAGGTTAGCTTTTCAGGACTGGCATTCTCCATGTCTGTAAGATTGTAATTCTTGTTTTATCGTACCAAACAGGGTGGGCATGTTAGGTATTCTAGATGAAGACCTCTGGAAAGTATCAGTTTAGGCAAAAGAAGGTATCACCCAAACATTGTAGGGAAACATTTGTGCCTTTTTGCTTGCCTGAGGCTGATAAGTTAAAATTTCTATCTTCATGAGTTTTGTAGAGTCACACTTCTATGTGAATGGGAACGCAGGAGTATAAGACCCTGACTGAATCAGGACTGCTCTTTGCATATCCTGATTCTCAGTATTCATATTGGAAGAGAAAGCAATTGATTTCAATGCCATTTGTGGCACGTAACTTTGTTTAGGATGGGGATGAAATCTATGAATAGCTGACAGCCAGATATCTGCTTAGTTGGAAGGGGAAAAGGGAGAAAGAAAGTTGGCAAGTGAGGCCAATGATGAAATGTGTGAAATGCTTGGATGGCTGCCTTGTGTATTCAAGGGTGAACATGCAGGTATAGAGCACAGCAGCAGAAACCACCCATAAATGACAAGGACTTCCTTGCTGTGGAGGGGCAGATAAGTCAAATGTTAGACTAGATTACTGAAGGATGATTAAGGAAGAAGTGAACTAATGGACTCTACTGTTTGAACCCATGCTTGTCATTGACAGGTTGTGTTTAAAGCATTGGGCAGTCTCAGCCTTGCCAGGTAAACCAGAGAGGAGATATCAGGAATAACATAGCCTTTATTGTAAGTCTTCATTAAGAGAATCTTGAAATTCTGGAAGTATTTATCTCCTGCCATCTCCTTTACAGTCTGAAAAGCCAGTGAGGGTCCCTTCAGAGCGTTTTGCTCTGCTTTGTAGCTGTGGGCTACGCCATTTCTTATCTGACTATTCCCATGGCAGTATCTCTTCATCCATCTCTCAAAGTCTTCCTCACATACAAGTGGGTAGGATGCATCACAAAATCTGGTATAGGAACTGCTCAAAGTCATTCTCTAGGCCATCTTTCTCAAATTGGTGCCGTGGAGAAAAATTGTACTGCAACTTCCAGAATCACCAACTAATATGGCCTCTGCAAACCAAAGCAATGGGACTTGTAGTTCTCTTTGCATTGTAAGGTATAATATTGTACAATGAACAGACCTGGGTTAAAAAGACCTCAAGATAGCTTTCTTCTGGAATTACGTGTCTGGTCCATAGATAGTTGTGCTATTTGTGAAACCTTGGGAACTATCCCAATGGCCAAAATGCAGTTGGAATGGCAGGAATTGTATTTATCTCACACTTTAATGTATCTGAATGAGGATAACATTTCCAGGCAATAACCTCCTCCACTTCTCCTTTGCTTGACTTATAAAACCATCGCAAATGTGCTTCAGTAAAATTATATGCATAATTTTGTATTTATTTAGCTATGTTTATGTAGTGTACATTAGAAGTTCCCTTTTAGAGCTGTATGCAATGAAATTTCATTTTAGTGGACATTCAAAGGGGCAATAAAGTTATTCTAAGTCTTCAGTAACGGTTTGGGTCAACATTACTTGCTGGCCCGTCGCTGGGTGTCTGGATTAAGGTAACCGAGGTGGGGTGGGAGAGTGACGGGAGTTCTGTCGTGCATAACTCGAAAACAGAGCCGCATCATGTCTGAGGAAAATATGGGGACGTGGCCCAGTCAGGCCTTCAGACACGTGTGCTGTCCCGCCTCAAATGGCTTCTCGTCTCCCCTCTCTCCTCCAGGTGTTCCGCGGGCAGCGACTGGCCGGAGCCCAAGACGTGAGAAAGCAAAGGTCGAGCGACGGGAGGGCCGTGACGGTCAATGTTGTTTGAGCAGGCGCCGCCCGAGGCTTTGGCGACCGCAGAGCCCAAGATGCAGAAAACCGCCTACTACGACAACTCGACGCTTTTTGGGGCCTACGGCGGGAGCGGCAGCTACGGCAAAGCGGATGCCTACGGCTACACCACAGGCCCGCCTCAGCCCTACCCTCAGCCCGCTCTGGAGACTGACTACTCCGGATCGGCTTGTTCCCTCCAAGGCGCTGCCCCTATCCGAGGAGCGTCGGCTGCCCACAAGAGCTCGGAGCTCAGCGGAAGCTGCATGCGGCCCGGCGGGGGAAGCCAGGTGGTTCCTCAGCCGCCGCCAGGCCTGGGCGACCAACAGCCACCTCAGCAACAACCGCCGCCGCCCCCTACGCTGCCCTCTCCTTCCCCGCCTAACAATGCCACCCACGCGGGGTCTGCCAAGAAGGGTAAAAACGGGCCTAATTCTTCCAACGGCTCTCCGGCCACCATTAGTAAGCAGATCTTCCCCTGGATGAAAGAATCGCGGCAAAACTCCAAGCAGAAAAACAATTGCCCGCCCGCAGGTATCCAGCTCGCTTACCTGGGTACCTATGAGGGCGGGGTTCTTCTTCCGCCGGCTCAATCTGAGAGGATGGTGTCACATATGGAAGTCATTGAAACATAAGAAGCCCTTGTAAGGCACACCCAAAACCCATCCAACACCACCACCCCCTACTAAACTGATATCCAGGGAATGCCCTCAGTAGTTGGCCTGCTTCTAGCAATCTGCCTCTGAAATCAAGACACCATTTTGTGGTGGCCCCTGACAGCCCCTTTCTTCCCTGGGAGAGGAAGAATGCCCTAAAAGCAAATACATAACTGCATAACCGTAATTCTTTCATTGCCCTTTTTAGAGCCATTTGTTGAGCTATCAGCCAAAGCCACTTCTTGTAACAGCCAGGTGAAGGCATGATTTCTCCTTCCACACTTGGGGCCTGTTGGTGAGAGTGATTGAGCATGATAGGAATTGTAATCTTACACATTTTAACTTCACTAGTTTGGAGGGGGAAGCAGCCTTTAATGAACATGAAAATGTGTGTAGGCAGGATTCAAGATTCTGCTCCCCCACCCCACCCCAGTTTGGTGAAAAGGCTTTGTGGTGTCATCACAGTTTTTGAAACTTAGCTGTCTGTCCTAGGCAGCTGGATGGAAACATCTTGCAGACATAGGCACAGCTTGTAACATCAACCCATCATTGTTTTAAATGTATTCTTCTTCTAGACTTGATAATGCAGGATTCCTCATAAGAAGTTCCCTACTGAAAACAAACTTTATAAATTATATTTAAATCAATGCCACTTCGTGTAAGAACATGTACCTGAAAATGTCCTGTATAAACCTATGGGATTTAGTTCTTACTTGGCTGAGTTTATAAATTGAACAGAAAAGAAATGAGATATTTGAGGAGCTCACACTCCGTGTTACAGTATTTCAAAGTTGAGTAACTCAATATATTTTTCAAAGTAGGTTGCCAGATGTTCTTTATTTTTAAAATACATCTTTTCTTTTTCAGAGAGCCTTTATGCTAGCATGTCATGGCTCTGAACTAAATATTAACCATGCTGCTTAACTTTTTTTTTTTAAAAAATAACAAACTGTACAGCCAGGGCTAGCTAATAAGTCTTTGCTTCAAGCCAATGACCAAATTATACTTTCTCCAGCTCTGTTGAAGTCATGGTATGTTCTACTCAAAATTAGGCAACTAATTATGGCATAGGAAAAATAAATCCCTCAAGTTCTTCTCTATACCACCTCATTACAAAATTAAAAAAAACACCGCCCTTTGTGATATGCATAAATTTGAAGCCTGGGGCAGTTGCGTTGGTCAGCTTAATAGGTGTCTCTAGGAGATCATCCCTCTCATTTCTTTTGCTCTTTTATAGAGAATCTGCAAAGTCATTTGAGGTGCCTAAATGCTAGGAATTCCAAAGTGGATGATGAAATGAGAGTTGAGACTGTGTCTCCAACTGGGTGTGGCCTTCTCCTCTAAAACCAGCCTGCTGACATAATTTTCTAATCTAGCAGGAGGAAGTGCTGGGACAGTACTTGATGGCCCCACATTGCTCACTTTTTCAAAATTATCTGATGTGCAGAGAGAAGGAGGAGCAATGCAGACCCAGATCCTGATAGTTGACTTTTTTGATGTTGAAATGGCTGCTCAGTTGGATGAGGGAGAGAGGGGGAGGACTTTTCCCATGGGGATCCCCAGCTCTGCAGCCTTCCCAATAGTTAGAGCACTATCTCAGAGATAATCAGCACACTTGGGGCTCCCACTGCTGTATTGTCTTCAGATTTTGGAGCCTGGGTCCTGTCCTGTTTGGATCCCTTCAACAGACCTTCCTGGGTTTTGTCAGGGGATCAATTGATTTCTCCAATTAAATAAGATGATTTACAGCTCTCTTGCCAGAAACTGGAACTTTCCTATCCCTTTGAGGCCCCTCCCACCCCCACTTCCCCAGCATCCAGCTTCAATCACTGGCTGTCCAAATAGATATAGAGATGAGCCTAGTTTCTTGCCATCCACTTTGTGGAATGGGTGAATGAGATGGGATGGAGGGCTAAGAATTTCAATGGTGTGGCTAGTGAGAAGAGAAATACCAAAATGATCTAAGGCTTTGTTGGAAGTGTCCCTTGATATGCATTTTGCTTTCCCTGATTATGAGGCAGGGACCTTCACATATTGATTGCAATTGTGCAAAGCGCTGAGACCTGGGCTCTTTTGAATTTACTGTGAAAGCCAGCTTCAAAAGGAAGGGAGGGGAGGAGGGCAGGAATTAAGGGAAGGGAATACAGCTGAAACTGCAGTGGTGGCGGCGCTGTTGGTGCCCTGCATTGATCATCTACCCCAGAGACTGCTCTGAAAATTACTGAATAGTGTCAGTTCAGAGAGCAGTGTGAATGGCTGGATCCGAACTGGGTATTCAGAGTTGTTCAGGCATATTTTTCACATTGGCATTCGGTCCACTGCAGCTTCGGAATACCAAAGGGTCTTCAGCTTCCCATTCTACAACAACCTCTGCCCACATCTGCCAGAGCACTCTGCATGGTGGATGCCACCCAGTGGGGTAACTCAAGCAGCCCGTCACCCATCTTCTTTCTTTCTCTTTGACAGGAGAGAATTGTGAAGACAAGAGCCCGCCTGGCCCAGCTTCCAAGAGAGTCCGCACAGCCTATACCAGCGCTCAGCTGGTGGAGCTGGAGAAAGAATTCCACTTCAACCGCTATCTCTGCCGTCCGCGCCGTGTGGAGATGGCAAACCTTCTCAACCTGACTGAGCGTCAGATCAAGATCTGGTTTCAGAACCGGAGGATGAAATACAAAAAGGACCAGAAAGCCAAAGGGATTATGCACTCCCCAGTCGGCCAGTCTCCAGACCGAAGTCCACCCCTAAGTGGTCCGAGTCATGTTGGCTATACCAGCCAGTTGCCCAGTGTTGGGACCCTGAGCTACGACACTGCCCCATCACCAACCTCCTTTGCCAAGTCGCAGCAAAATCTGTATGGCCTGGCTGCCTACACAGCTCCGCTCAGCAGCTGTTTGCCCCAGCAGAAAAGATACCCTGGAGCTGAGTACGACCACCACACCATGCAAAGTAATGGGGGTGGTTTTGCCAACCCTAGTTTGCAGGGTAGCCCTGTCTACGTTGGAGGGAACTTCGTGGATTCCATGCCAGCCTCTGGCCCGATGTTCAACATCAGCCATCTCTCTCACCCTTCCTCTGCTAGCGTGGACTACAGTTGCGCGGCTCAGATCCCCGGCAACCATCATCATGGACCTTGTGACCCCCACCCCACCTACACAGATCTCACTTCTCATCACACATCTCAGGGAAGGATTCAGGAAGCCCCCAAACTAACACATCTGTAGTAAAATGGAACATATGGAGAGAAAGAGAGGGAGAAAGGGGGAAAGAGAAAAGAAAGAAAAAGAAAGAAAAAAGGAATGAAAGAAAGAAAGAAAGAGAAAGATCCTCATGTTTCAATTACCTCACTTTTTCCTGATAATTATTTTTCAGAATCCTGAGTGTTGGTGGATTGTGTGTATGCGTGTGTGTCCAGTAACAGCTAAATTATCTTTTTTATTTCATTGACAACTCCTGAACTCTATGGTTTTGTTTTCCTTTCTTTTTGAATTAAAAAAGTTTTAAAGCATGACAGTGCAATATCCTTTAAAACTAATTCCCACACGGGAAAATTAATTGGTAAAGATGTATTGAAAAGTAAGTTGTAGAAATTTGTTAGTATTAGCAAAACATGAGAACTGATGAGGAGTTTAAGACAGTTGGGACCAAAATGAGGACCTTATTCCAGAGATGTTAATTTATGGAGTTCTTCAGCAATGTGGACAATTGCTTTGGACTGAAATAAGATGTATTTATTATTTTAATAACTTTTAAAAAATACTCATTATTTAATCTTGGCCTTCAATGTATTTATGTGGATATTTGTAGAATTTCTTCATTCCCTTCTCCCTAATTTTGAAAGTTTAATTCAGGTCTTTGATAACTATACATTTTCACCTATTTAGTATATTTGATCTGAAATAGAAAGAGTAGTTTTGAACAGTTGTAATAGTGGCTGGTGTTTGTAGTTTATGTAAGGATTAAGCAATTGTAAGTCAAGTCATAGATTAATACAAAATTGAAACATTATCACAAACAGCTGTTACATTTTAAAACATATAAATATACAGCATATTAATTTATTCCATGATTATTTGGTATCCTTTTACTTTTAAAATGTTTAAAAATGTTTTGGGTGGGAGTGCATCTTATTTAAAATTATTCTCTCCTCTGGCAATATGGGTTTTGGCCATCTTTGACATCCATAAACCATCCAAGAAACTATTAAGTTATAATGCAGTTCCATACTTATTTTCTCAGAGGTAAGCCCCATTGAGTATAATGGAATTACTTCAGCTATAAGTGTCTCAAATAACATCTTTACTATTACAGAGACCATTTTGTCTGTGTTGTTTTAACGTAAAATAGCCAAAACTTTCAGATAGATTAGAAACAATATAATGCTATTGATGTCATTTAGTATTTCCACAGTAATTCAAACTAAGAACTATCCCTTTCAGTTGTTGTTATTATTATTGTTATATTATTTATATGCTATTTATGTTAATCATAGATCAATTTTGTACACCTTATCAGAACTTACTTTTGCTGATTAAGGAGGAAAAGGAGAAGACAAATTTTGAATGAAATATTGACAATCAAGTATCTACAAGGAAAGACTGTAGTAGGGTGTAGGGAAATCTGAATGGCTTTTGAGATAGGAAATTACTAGATCTATCAATATTTAATATAGTTGTTTGTGGCAGGCATTGATGCAATCCTCATGTAAACAAATGTTCCTGCCTGAAGCCTAAAATGGACAAGGAACACAAATATCATTCCTGGGCTCCCACTTTCTTTATTTATGTGTTGTATTTAATCTCTCCCTGGATTTATTATAAAGTGTTCCAAAGCATAAAAGTGACACTAGGTAGATGTTAGAAGCTACAGCTGTCCATTCATTCAGAAATAAGCATTTCTTACTGTCTTCCAGACTGCTCAGTTAGGATGCAGATCTTTGGAAATGCCTTGGACAGGGGCAGAGGGAAAACTCCCATTTCGGCTTGACTAATAGTGCCATTCCATTTCTGTGCATCCTGATGGCAGCTCCTGAAGTTCTTTTTGTTGGAAGAGGATTTTCACTCTTACATTTGTGTCTGGCTGGACAATGATGGTGACAGTATGTTTAAAAAAATCATGTTATTGCCCCTCATTCCTTTTGCTGTTTTTTTATTTAAAATATACCATGTTAACAATGAAGATGGAATATGTACCCTTTTGTTAAATCTCACTTTTACCCAAGTGTTGTAAATCTGTAAACAAGACAGAATAAACAGCTTCGAATGAAGAAATATTTTAACCACTTCTGGATCTAAAGTTGCTTTCTATGACATTTTGCTTTTTCTAAAATGCATACACTCAGAGCTATTATAAAATCATAATATGCACAAGGTCTACGGTGATTTGAACACGTACAAAATCTCTAGAAATCCCTAGAAAGTCTTCCAGGAAATTCCTGGATATCAACATCGATATATAGATAACATGTCTAATTAATTTTGTGTTCCTCATAGGACATATTTTCAACGCCTATAAATCAAAACTAGGCATATGGAATGTAACTTGGTAGGGCTTTCTAGGATATCCTGATATAATCCACAGCTTTATGTTTTATGGGCTTAACTTCAAATGGCATCTGAATTATTTTGTGTCATTTTTCTTCCCTGAACTCACATGAAGTTGAAAGCAAGTTATGAACCTTCTGGAAATGGGAGAGAAACAGAACTATTCATACACACAGATAAACACAATTAGTCTTGGTATAGAGATAACTTTATTTTCAAACTTTTCATTGGGAAATCTTGCAAATCAAGTCTGGCATTTTGGTAATTAAACTGATCAAGATAGTTGCACAAAGATTTTTATTTCTTTTGATTGAAGTCAAGTCGTGCCTGAAAGACCACATGTTTAGAATTGTGTTGCGTGATGTATGTTGAGATGGGAAAATCATAAACTAATTGGAAATAAATCTTGCCTTGGCTCTATTTTCTACTGGGTTTTTTTTGTCTGACTGTAGGGGGCCAAGAACACCACTGTTCAGGGGTTAAAACAAATTACTTGGCAAAAAACCTCTCCTATTTCCCTAGCATTTACTTCTATATAAACAGGTGTGGGATTTGTGTCTAAGAAGGAAGAGAGATAGAATGCCAGTTTTTTCAACGGCAAAATTCTTATTTTATTCAATTTCTATACCTGTGCATAGCAATCTAATTGATTCTTGCTCCAGATTGTAATATTGTCTTATAATAAAAAATAATTTGTGGCTCAAAGTTTCTCCTGTTTAGATTTTAGTAATGAACCATTTCCACATATAAAATCTGCTCTTGTCCCTGAACTATTGTGTTATCTGAAAGAACTACAGCATACTGGACTAGGATCTAAAATCTCAGCCTTTGTGAAAAAAACAGCAGCATTTTTCCCAAGGAACTTCCAGGCTCTGTGGTTTCTAAGGAGAATAGGGAAGGAACAGATAGGACAGAGGAGGATATTTCCCTGTAACTTGACAAAACCATAGCAAAGCTGAAAATGCATTTCTTGAAGATGTGCCTCTTTTTAATTATTTGAAGCTTAAGGTCCAACTTTGGGGCCAGGTGTCTTTATTTAGCTATCTCGGGTCCTAAAGCTGAACCAAAAACAAAATGCGATGAGATTTTGAAATATAGCCTTTTTCAATTCTGTACTACAGCAACTTTCACCTCAGACTTACCGTTGTTTCACCTTAAAGTTTATTATCGATTGCCCTCACCCTTGTTTTCTGCAGCATGTGGGGTGGGAAGAAGAGCAGTACTAAAGGTTACATCTGTAGTGTAGGAACTTCGCTGAAACCATTCTCTTTTTCGAAACCATTCTCTTCTCCCTTTAGGGCTGCATGCCAAAGCATACATTTCTCGGGAAATAAATCTCAATCAAATGCACTGGGCTGAATTACAAGGAAGTTTATGCGAATGCCTCTCCATAATCCCTAAACGGAGCGGGTATCTATTTTCTCTCTTTCTTTTTCAGCTACACTCCACTTCCCCCTCTTTGTACGCAAAACTGCCGACCTTCCTAAAACTGGAAATAGGTCTGTATCCCTCATCCGTCTAGCAATTTACTGGTAGTCAGTAGTCAGACAGCAATGCGGTAGCGTGAAACAACAGCAATCCTAGCAGCAGAGCAATAATTTTGGGGAGGAACTTAGAGTGGATCGCGACCGCTTTGCTCCCTCAACGTCCTTTGTCCCCGTGGTCAAAAGAAAGCATGCATTGCTTGCCCTGCCTGCCTATCTCCTCCCTCATCCTTTTTCCTGCCCCCCCCCGCTTTCCTCCATTCTTCCCTTCTTCTCCATCGGCGGGTGGGCTTGTCGAGCTGGCCAGGGTTGGATAGATTACGCGGGATCTATTTTACTCGGTTGAAATCGCCAGCAACCTCCCCGCGGATTCCTATTTCCCCGCTGAGCTGCGACCCGCAGGGCTAAAAGGAAAAAAAAAGGGGGGGGGACAGTAGCGAGCGCCTTGGCGCGCCGAAGAACCCTGGAAGGGTGTTGTTTTTTCTTCCTCTTTCCTCCTAGCGCGAGGCTCCGTTCCAAAGGGCAGCGGCGCGGAGGAAGGGCTCGAGGCGCTCAGGGGATTCACCCTCCCACACTTGAGGAAAATTGCCGCCGGCGTCCTCTTCCCTCATTGGCTCGGAGCGGAGCCCGGTAGCTAAGCAACCTCGCGCGGAGAGGGCACTGCTAAGGCGGGGTCAACGGGGATCGCTGAGCCGAATGCTGCGCCAGGCTGCAGAGAGACGCGCCGGCAGCGCCTGACGCGCCTCGCCTCTGCCCTGTCTTTTCCCGCTTTCCCGCCTCTCCTTTCTCTCGCCTCTCGCGCTGCCGTCTGTGCGAACAAAGGGCCCCCCGGTAGCCATGTTTTTTTCCCTCGCAGCCTTCCTTCAAACGCCGAAGTCGCCCGTTTCTGCAAGGCGGCGCGGTTGGATTCTGGAGGCGGGCGGGGGGGAGAGACGGGAGAGATCTTTCAGTATGGGAGGCGGCTCCTGTTCTTGGGGGTGGGGGTGGGGAGTCCGAAATGCTTCTTCCTTCCAGAAGAGGCTATAAGTTACAGCCGCCACACTCTAACCAAGGGGCATCCCTCAGAATAAACTCCAGCAGGCTCACCCGGTGCATCTAAGGGATGGAGGATAGATAGCCTTGTAAGACTTAACACCTCTGAGGCCTTGTGGAGCAAAATTGGGAGTTGCTATGCTATTGTCTGCCATTGGAAGGGCATCAGTCATACATTTACTTGGGAGCTTTTCCTTCTAAGAGGACGAGTTCTTTCCCACAACAGTAGTGCACAGTGTATGCTAGCTAAAGCAGTTCCCTTTGATTGAAATAGTAAGATGCAAAAGATCAGGCAAAAAATATTGTATCAGTGTGTTTTTTAAAAAAGAAGGGTAACTCAAAGCAAGTAGTG